CCAAACATTACTGCATAACAGCCGTACTTTATCGCTAACACTAAGCGGAGATGGGCTGCAGGGTGTTCCAGGCGGAGCTGCCGTGAGACGGGGACGGGCTGGGGGAGGAGGTGATGATGGGGGCCGGGGCCGAGGTGGTCGCCGTGCCTGCCGGGGAGATACTGCACAACAATTGTACAAGCTTAGTACAATACTGGGCGGGGGAAGAGGTGATAGTGGGGGCCCGAGGTGGTCGCCATGCCTGCGGAGATACCAGCGCGTTAACCCGAGCACTATGATAAACTTTACTGCACAACAACTGTACTAGGTACATGTACAACCAAGGAGGTTCAATCAGATAGACTTAGTGCAACGCATGGCATCTACTGATATACAGCATTAAGATATTTAACATGCTTAGAGACTATCTATCGTATATGACCTACGGCATGGAAAATCCTCCGCCGTACATGTGTGTGCATTACGATGTGTGTGGCCTGAGCTTTATTAAAAGATACTGAAACCGACAACTAAACCCACCTGAATCTTATGAGAAAATACAGCTTTACTTCTGTTAGCATTTTCTTCTAAAGCGAGTGGAATTTTACGATTTCTATTTTGTAGTTGACGGTATGAACGTCACTGTCAATAAAGCCTGTTGATATTGGATTTCGATTTGAAAGGGAATACCTGTACGGACTATACAGGAATGCGCGCCGCCGTCCACACAGCGTTAGACACAACGTTACACAAACAATAGAGGAGGTTTGACCGAACTACAACAGTCTAACACTTAACATGTGCAATAGATATAATTTTGCCCGTATTTTCGTTGCGACATTACAAACATCAGGAGAGACGCCACATCACGACAGCGCGATCAGCCGAGTGCGCGCACAGCACGGAGGCCGCGGCAAAACCGGCCGTCGCAATAAGTATTTACGGCAACCCTTTCCGACAAGCGACGACAGGATTTTGTTCGACACTTCCACGACCATGACGACTGTCTTACGATGTTATTGCACTTTCTGCAACTGAATTTTGCACGACTGTCCTACGATAATGTTACACTAGATACAGAGATAGATAAATTAATACGGGGCCACTTGAATCTTCCAGGGCCCTGCCTAGAATGTTTCCCCGATCAGTGGCCGCCGTGAGCTTGCCGTATGAGTTTCATCAGACTCTTACGATTATCAGTATCTACAAGGAAGGCTTGAGAAGCTGCAAGAAGACTTGTGGGGTCGTGTGGCGCAGCGGCAGCGTTCTCGACTCGGAACCAGAGGCCCCGGGTTCGAGTCCTGACATGCCACCGATCTTGTGCCCTTGGGAAAGGCACTTTACACGACTTTCCTCACTTCGCTCAGGTGTAAATGAGTATTGTACTGTCCCTGTGTTGGTGGCGGCATTAATATAAGTTGAAAAAAACTTGAGTGTGCCGTCACCACGTCCTGTGATTACATGTTTCGGAATATATAAAAAAAATTTAAAAAAAAAGACTTGAGTAGCTAAAAGGAAGACATGATCATAGTAGTACATGTAAGACTTGACTAGCTACATGTAAGACTAATGCTTACGTCACATTTCCAAACCGGGGCCCGGCCGGGCTGTTTGTACTAACGAAAAATTCACTTTTCTTATCAAGAATATAGAGAAATAGAGCCCATGATTGTTATTAAGAACTTTTCGATGTTTTGTTGTCTTCTGTATCGTAGTTTTCGCTCCCAAAAGCTGCCCGGCCGGGCCCCGTATGGGAATTGTGACCCCAGCATTAGGTATCTGTAAGACATGAGTGTGTACCTGGAGTAGAAGACGAGGACGCCTCGCTGCCGGATGACACCTCTCCCTTTCCCGCCTTGTGACTTACGTATCTAAGGAAGACTTAAGGATCTATAAGTAAGACTTAAGTACCAGGAGTAGAAGACGCGGACGCCTCGCTGCCTGAGGAGACCTCTCCCTTTCCCGCCTTGTCCTCCGCGTCTTTTTTAGCCTTGGCCTTGGCCTCCGTGGCGAGTCGCTCCTGCTTACGGAACTTCGCGCGACGGTTCTGGAACCATACCTGGGGGAAAAAAAACACATTCATTTCAGGCACCAGGGCTACTTTTCTACATCAAACCACGCATCAGGCAATGGTCAGTGTTTCGTACGGAACTTCGCAAGCCGTTTCTGGAAACACACTTGGGGAATTTTTCTCTTTATAAGTTCCGAAGAGAACGGCGTCTCCTCTCTGCTTACAGATTTAAGACAAACACACGAATTGTAGGATAATCGCGACGTCAGGAACCAAACATTTCCCCAACCGCCGCGCTGAATTGGAAACATGTTTATAGAGCGAAACAACATTTAATTTTGAACGGTTCCCCGGTTTATTCTTTTCAAGTTAACTGTAACATTATGTCAACCGCACAAAATTACATTTTAGCAACAAAACGTTTTTAATTCTATTTGTGTCCTTTACATCTTTTGGGTGGGGAATGTGGACTCTCGCTTCATTTCATGTGCATCAATTCGACTGTTTGTGCTGTTCTTTTACATGTTTCTTGGTTAGTGTTTTGTATTGTTTAGTAATATTAGTTTTATTCATTTAAGTGGCGGCGCTAACATAAGTTACCCAACTTGAGCCCGTCGTCACTTTGTCCTGTACCCTTAATTTGTTTGCTGTATGCTGAATAAAAAAAAAACATGTTTATCGTTTGACGTTCTGACTTTTGTAACAAACTAAATCTCCCGACCTTCTATAGTGTGTGCTTTTGTGTACCCAACGTCGCTCTTTATTCTCTTTATTCCGATGCCCTTTAGCATTACGCCTAATGTTACAGGGTCCAAATACAAGTGAAAATTACGGAAAAAAACATACATGGTGGAAGAAATACGCCTAATTACACGAAATAAAAACATGCAGAAGCTAACAAACTCCCGTCTCGACTACCCTGCCGTGAACTGAGCAGTCCGATTTTCCCCCTGCTGATCGTTTTTCTGTCATCAGGATAATCTCAGTAATGTGTTTGTCCGCAAACAGACATCATCATCCAACCATTCCGCTGATTAAACCGGCATGAGAACACAAACACTTCCACCAGGCCTTTCTACGGGAATACGGATCGTAGAATTCGGAAAAAAGGAGAGTAAAATTGGTCAAGGAAGTCCGGCCGCGGGGAGGTTGTTTCTTTCCCTTCCTGCATGGCCAGTCAAACCTACAAGGCGGCCAAACTCCCACGGCAAATATTCTCCTATATATAGCCAGCGTAGTTAGTCTGGTAGATACTACCAAACACTCCAGAAAACCCTCCCCAGAAGTTCCCCATGTTTGCTGACTGTCTGAGTAGAACGGACCCGATCTGTTGTAGCCATGTTTGCGCCTGACAAACGCCACATCCCGCCCGCGTGTAGCCTCCACAGCGTGCCAAAAACTGGGGGTTTGGGGGGGGGGGTCTTCAGGGTCTTTGGGAGCTTTTATGTGCTATTTTCTGATTGCATATAGACAACATGGTTGAATTACTCCCGTTTTTAGAACTGGGCTAATCAGAAAACAGCCGAAGACCACAAAACCCGCAGTTCTATAAGCCTGCTACGGAGGCTAGCACGCGTGCATGTAGCAGAATGTATCCATGTGATTTGTAGCGGCCGTGTCTGTAACAATCGCCCATCTGTGTCCGTTTTGCGCGCACAAAGCGCTACAGGAGACCCCGCGGTGTGGCATATTGTCCGCCCGACAGGTGGCAGATACAATCTGGGCTCTGCTCAGTTCTAAGTAAAATAGCAGAAATTCGCTCCAGGCTACAACACAGCTACGTTACTCGCTACATCACATGCTACAATTCGCCCGAGGCTACAACAGAGTAACGTTACGTTACGGGCGATCTAATGTAGCGAAATCAGGGTAACGAAATGAACTAATATATTGACAAAAATAACGGATTCGTAACCAGAACAGTTTTACACAACCGGATATATTTATATATAACCGAAAGCTGTAAGACTAAGCTGAATAACCAACTGGGGAACATCGGACAAACACATGTACATGTAGTGACTACATAAAACAGTGTCGAGATGAACGAATGGGTTGAAAAATAACCAAAGTCATAACCACAAAATAATGTTTTAGACAACGCAGATATTATATAACTAAAATGACGTAAGGCTGTAAGCCGGCAAGTAACATATTGGGAACATCTGACAAACAAACATGTAGTTTACATATTAAGCTTCCGCGTTTTTCAAACCTCCTGCACGGTAACACCAACTCTGCACGCCCGCGATAAACACTATTGATACAGATAACGGGAGGGATTCTAACGAAAACGTCCGCCTACTGAGTCAGGAAATGTGAAATTTTGATGCTGCTTTTTGGGGAAGAACTGACTAGTTTACCGCAGACAATCACACGACTATAGCTGAGATGCTGTGTAAGGATATAAGGGCCCTTTCCTTGGTACTGAAGAACACTGATCTGTGTAGGAGACTACAGTACTAACTGCTCTTTCCTTGGTACTGAAAAGTTGGCTCTATGTTGGAGACTATACAGTAGTTCTTTGTCTTCTCGCGACCCAGATTTAGATGTCCTGCTGCGAGGCGCGTGCCAAAAAATAAACAACAAACACTTGTAAACCCTGACTTGAAGGTTATTTGTCGACGTTTTACTGCGAAGAGCCACGCGCCAATTGCAAAATCTAAATAATAAGTTAACACTCGCGTGTCTTTATTTATACACTCTGCATGATTGTATATAAATCATTTCACAATAGGACATAGAGTTTTAACAAAAGCACAAATTCAACAAATATGCTAGCCACTCGGGTGCGGCAAACTGTACTCCCCAGCAGACCAACTCCCCCGGCATGTTATCTCTCTCTGTTTGACCGATTCCTACTCTTTCCAGCCGCCTCCCGAAGCCTGGTAGAGGCTACAAATATGCAACAAAATCACAGGTTGCCAATGCAGAAACTCAGAAGTCAGCATCTGTTAGCCTCGTGTCTGAGTGTTAAACACACGCGGTTTTTTGTCTGTTGAACCACTTTGCAAAATTACCCACAGTAATCCCGCCATGTGTCCTTCCTTAACCAATCCGCCGGATTACATGGAAATTATGACGATTGTTACATTTACTCGCCACGAGCCACTGAACAAACACTCGTGCCCAATTGTCCCCCACTCTGTGTGATTAGTTATCAATCAAGGCCTTAGAACAGACTGCTCATTTCCCGATTACTTCAGATCATGACATATTTACTCCGGTAGCCACGCGTCAGAATTAAACAAACACCCTGCCCTATTATTCCCCACTTTGTGTGATTAGTTATCAATGAATGAAAGAACTTTATTGTACATTTTTGCTCATTGCGAACTAAGTACAGGTCACGGCAAATAGCGATGGTAGACTAAAATATATCTATAGTAAAACTACATATGTACAGGTTCTGCTTCTTCTCGCTTCTTAAGACAGTTGTAAATGTAAGAACAGATGGAGCTTGTAGTACGAGGATTATGGAGTTTCATGAGGAATGTGAAATTTTCTTTTCTATCTCAATCAAGGCATTAAAACAGGACGCTGACATCCCGATCACTTCAGATCAGGACATATTTACTCCGGTAGCCACGTGTCAGAATTAAACAAACACCCTGCCCACTTGTTCCCCCACTTTGTGTGATTAGTTATCAATCAGGGATGTTCACTTCCCGGTCAGTTCTGAACCAGAACTAAACAAATAATAGCCTCTACCAGGCACCGCGGATCGCTGGGAAAATAGCAGAAATTGGCCGAAATAAAGGGAATACCATACCAGGGGAGTTGGTCGGCCAGAGAGGGTACATTTTGCGACCCAAGTTCCACTATTTTTCCAGCGATCCGCGGTGCCTGGTACAGGCTTCACAAAAACTACAAACACTCGTGTGTCATTCTGTGTGATGTATTGTCAACCAGGGTCCTGGGAGTGAAATCGGGATGCTCACTTTTCGATCACAAACAATGGACACTCTAGTGTAATTAGTTATCAGTGTTGCTCACTTCAGATCAGGACGATTGTTGAATTTACTCCGCTAAACAAACACCCGTGCACCCGTGTGCCATATTGCTTCCCCACTCTCTGTGATTAGTTATCAATCAAACCCATCCCGGTTAAATAAAAACCGGACTGTGTGAGAGTTATTATTAAACTTGCAGATACAGATATAGCCTCTACCAGGCACCGCGGATCGCTGGAAAAATAGTACAAATTTGCCAAAGTAAGAAGAACAGTATACCAGGGGAGTTAGCCGGCCAGAGAGGGTACATTTTGCGACCCACGGAAAAACGTACTCTCTAGCTAGCGGAACAACGGTAACACCCCTGACATGTTATCTCTCTATTTGGCCAATTTCTACTCTTCCAGCCGCCTCCCGAAGCCTGGTAGAGGCTAGATAATACAGATGCCCGTGCTCCATTGTCTCCCACTTTCCGTGATTATAATTTATCAATCACGGAAACCAGAATAATCACAAACAAACACTCTGTATGATTAGTTATCAATCGGAGCCTATCCCGGTAAAATCTGGCTGTGTGAGAGTAGAACAAACAGTTGCAGATACAGATACTCGTGCACTCGTGCTCCATTGTCTCCCAGTGATTATAATTTATCAATCAGGAAAACCAGGATGGCCACAAACAAACACTCTGTATGATTAGTTATCCATCAGCCCCTATAGTATCCATGTTAAACCCTGCTGCTCACTTGCAGCCCTCCGGGAGGATTACAAACTCAGCAGAGTAAATAACAGTCAGGACACGGTAATTATGGCATTACCGGCCTTTCTGTAAGGTAATTAATTAGCGGGAAAACCGGCCTCCCTCCGCCCCGCACGTGCCGCCGGTCTGGTGCCGGGTTCACCGCGGTCTGGGCGGGATGTCTGCGGGGCTGTGGAAAGAGTCCCGCCGCCGGGCGCAACTAGGTTCGCGATAGGAGTTTTGCGGGAGCCCGGTGGTCTGTAAGGTAATTAATTAGCGGGAAAATGTTCCTCCTGCCCTCCATCCGCCCCGCACGTGCCGCACTGACGGGACGCGTGCCGCTGGTTTGGGGATACCCTGGGTGCCAAACTAGTATCGGGCCGTTAGCCGTTTTCTTCGGCAGCCAAGAGCTATTCACCCGCCCATCTAAATTACCACTACTGGGGAATTGGCCGAGTCTACCGTGGTTTGGGTGTGATTTCTGCGGGGCTGTGAAATGGCTCCACGGCCAAGCGAAACTAGGTTCCCGGTAGGAGTTTTGCACGACAGAACTTAGAACTCCTACCGGGTGACAAGTTGAGCCGCGCGGCGGCAGGAAATTTCTATATCCCAAATCACGGTATACTCACTGGACACAAAGCTAACTGGTGGCAAGAGGGACTGACATTCCCTTGTACATCAGATGGGAATCAAGTAGAATTTTGTGCCAAATCTGGTGCTTTTAAACAAAGTTGCACGGTGTTCTTATCCCTAAAGAGCTGTGTGTTATCTGTCAGTTACCGCTTGAGCGCTGATGTAAAAGACAATAGATTTTTTTCGGTTGAGAAAACTGCGCTATCTTAGTAAAACTCGCCAGCTGGGCGGATAGAGGGTATCATTGCGCACGTCGCCATATGGCGGGCAACAGGCCACTGCCGGAGGGGGTTAACTAACAAATTAGCATGCCGAGGGTTAATTAAGACATTAGCCTTTTCCGGGTTAACCAGCTAACACACTATAGCCTACACAGGGTTAACAAAGACATTATTCTACGCTTGGTAAAAAAAAAGACATTAGCCTGTACAGGCCTAGGGTTAGTAGGTACTCTGTCTATCGCAAGTAACTTTTGGGAAACTTCAGCAGGGTTTTAGTGGACACTTTTGGCGAGGCAAAATTTGGTAACAAACCATGCAAATAGCATCCACTACTTTTCGTCGATCACTGACAGACAGAGGATATCCTGTTGTCATATTGAAGAAAACTGACAAGGGTACTGGTACCAAAAATCCCACCTGTACTCTGGCCTCCGTGAGATCTATCTTGAGCGCGAGTTCCTCCCGTGTGTAGATGCCCGGGTTAGGGTTAGGGCTAGTGTTAGGGTTAGCTAGGTACAGGTACAGGTACAGGTAGTAGATAAACTCACCTGTACTCTTGCCTCTGTAAGGTCTATCTTGAGCGCGAGTTCCTCCCGTGTGTAGATGTCAGGGTTAGGGTTAGGTACAGATACAGGGTACAGGTACAGGTACAGGTACAGGTACAGGT